CTCACAACTTTCCCTCCCTCAGACATAGGTAATTAATGTAATATATTTTCCAGATATTTGGAGTACAGTGTAATGATACTTCTGAACAGTTTTTTCATAAGAAATAGGCTCAGCGCCTGTAGCTCAAGCAGCTAGGGCACAGCCATGTACACTGGAGCTGGCAGGTTCGAACCCAGCCTGAGCCTGTAAAACAACGATGAATGACAATTATAATAACAACAACAACCAAAAATAGCTGGGCATTTTGTGACAGGTGCCTGTAGTCCCAGCTACTTGGGAGGCTGAGGCAAGAGAATTGCTTTAGTCCAAGAGTTTGAGGTTGCTGTAAGCTGTGACACCATGGCACTCTACATAGGGCAACACAGTGAGACTCTGTCTCAAAGTAAAAAAGAGAAAAAAGAAAAGAAATAGTGTAGCATTTGATCAATATATGAAATAGTTCCTTATCAGGGAATGGTACTCTGAAATGAAAATACCAGCAAATATTTATACAGGATACCAGAGGACATATAAGCATCTTGGCTATTTTTTCACAACATACCATGATATATTAACATAGATTTATATTAGAGTGTTATTCCTCAATATTTACGTTATGGGTTATCTCTCAATATCAATTTTCATGTTCTTCCTTGATAACAGAATTTCTAGCAGACTCAGACTTGCCCAGGTTGCAGATTGCAATTCTCCCCTTGGTGCAAGGTGTGGCCATAAAATTTTAAATTCTAGCCCATGATATTTGAGGGGAAAAAAATATACCTGCCTTCTGGATCCTGCCTGAACATACCAGCATGGCCACCCCTGTCCCATTTTTTTCTCCCCACTGACTTGAATATGGATGAAGGCTCAAGAGAGCAGAACAAGTAGATGAAGGGGGTTTAAGTTCTAAAAGCACATAACCTAACCATTATGTGTGTGTGAGAGAAATGTGTTGTTTAAACAAAACTTATACTGCTGCTGGCTTCCTGTGATACTAGCCAAAGCCATAGCTTAACTAATGCCGGGTGATAAAGTAAGATCTTCAAATTAGTTTATTGTTGGAATGTGAGGTTTTCTCTGGAATGTGGAATTCAGTGTCTTCTCAAAGTTCAGATTGTTTTCACATTTTTTTTTAAGTTTATTTGGCTTTTTGATATGGATTATTTATGGGTTGAATGTGAGCAAATCAAAATATGTTCCTAGATGTATATGATTGTTATGGTTATTCAAAAACTGGGAAAATAAATAGTTTTTACAGAAGACCAAGATTTAGACTCTCTAAAATTAGTAAGCCACCATCAAGAACAAATACACTAGGTCTTTAAGAAAAAAGTCTAACCTCAAACCTTCCCCTACATATTTTCAATCTCCACATCTCATTTGGTTTAAAGAGACCACTTCTTACACCGTCCCCTTCCTCCAGACTCCTTTGGAATCCGACTCCAAAAATTGCTTTTAACCAGATGCCTCATCCCAGGGAGAGAGCCAGGGCCTGGGAGCACTGGGCATATGTCACCCAACCTATGGCTCATTCCCTAATATTTACTCACATTTCATTTGGTTTTCCTTTGATTTCAGTGGCTTCAAATCCATGACCAATTTCATCATATTTAGGGCAGTTATTAGCTTCAAAGGTCCACACTGGTATATACTACAAATGCAGTCCTCTCTATTGAGACTCCTAAGATACAGAGGGTGCCGACAATTTGTATACACATTTTAAGAAAGGGAAAAACTGTATTCAATTAGTAATACTCAAGTCACCTTTGACCTCTGCAATTACAAGAGGTTCTCAACATGACTTTTAGTCATCTTTTATTAACAGCATATATTATTACAATTTTTTAATTAAAAATTTTTTATTAAGTCATAACTATATACATTTATGGGGTACAATGTGATGATTTAATATACAATATGGTATTAAGTGCTCATATCAAACTGATTAATATAATCACCTCACTACTTTTTTTGTTGTAAATCATTTACAGTTTATTTTTAGTTGTTTAGAAATAGACCCTTGCATTGTGCACATTAATTGCATTTGACGGGATCTCGACTACATTATTACAATTTTAATAATTTTTTTTCCTTTCTTAAATGTGTGTACATTTGGGGGGGCACCCTCTGTATACGTAGCTATACTTGAGGATCAAAAATACCATTGGAAACCAAGGAAACATTAATTAGTTATGCAAAATGATGAATGCCTGATGAGTTTTATAGGTTTCTAATAATATATTAATAACAAAACTCTCCAGTACAATATCTCTAGAGCACCATTGCAATACATTCTGAGGATCACACATATAAACTCTGCTTTATTTTTCCCTTTAAGTCTTAGACATTTAATGATAGACCGACCAAAGAAATCCATACTCTGAAATTCAGCAAAAGATATGATTCACTCACATGACCGTCAGATAACGAGCTAATTAAAGTTCTGTAACTACTAAAGATATAAGCTAATATTCTATTGCACTCCTCCAAGCTCTCACCTTGCAGCTGTTCCCATGGCTGACAAACCATTTTAAAAACATATACAATATAGCAAACTGTTTTTAGCTTCAGGTTCCTGATCCCCTGCCAATACTTAGAAAAACTTCATAAATATTTATTCATTTCACAAACATCGTAAGAATCATAATAATGGTACAGATATTTTGTGTAATGCAGAAGACGCATCAAACAGTTTTACATCTGCTCTTACTTTGTTTTTGTGCTTCTGTTCATGGTACGCATTTCACCTGTAGTTCTAGACTATTTCATGAAAATCAAGACAGGATAAAAGGTGAAAATCTCACTCCACTCTTTCGGTTGTACTCATTCAAAATAACTGCTGTTGACAATTTTGTGCCTCGTTAGCCAGGATTTTGCATGTTCTTATTCAGTCAGACAGAGATGTTTGTGCTGCTGTCTATAAAGTTAGCAATTTTTGTAAATACCCATATATTTTGACATTAGGCATTGGGTATGCCGTCCATATTGGTCCGCCATGGTTGTTTTCCTGGCACATTATATCATAGCATCTTTTAAAGTTAGTGCACATAGGTCTTACTTAACCTTATTACTGGCTTCCCAGTATTCCATAGGATAAACAGATAATAATTGAACAAATTCCTTCTTTATGAAAATTTAGATGGTTTCCTTTTCTTTCAGTAACATGCAGTACCACGATAACATCTCTGTCCACGCCTTTTTATGAATATGCTCTTTCATTTTTGATAAAATTCTAAAAATGACTGCCAACGCAAAGGTATTTTAACCCTCATTGAAAAATAACTAACACAAAGATTCTTACACATTTTTGTTCTAAGGACGTCTTCCTCCACCATACTTTTCCAGAGTAAAGCCCAAATCTAAAACTTTGCATTCAATGTATTGATTACAAAGCCCCTCAGATGGGTTGTACCGACAATGTAAATATTCCATCAGACAATGCCACACCACTTTAGAATGAGAGCATGCTTAAAATAGAATATTTAAGTTTGAATTTGTAAATGAGATAGAATTACAGCTCTCAAAATGCAAACATGCTATAGTGACATATCCAAGAGTGAATTCCTTCCAGCACTCTTAGTTTTGATATAAATGTCCAAGTGGTGAGTATATGTTTCTGGAATGTTTTATGCTTCTATCAGCAGTTGGGCAGGATTTGTCTTATTTTAAGGGAGCTGTGTAATAGGTTGGTTAATACTTTCTTACGACATTAATGCATTCCCTATGACAGATTGTATAGGATCTATGGAAATTTTTGCAAAAGTGACCTAAACATTCTAATCATAACAGCTTTTAGGAACATGAATACAACCTGTGGAAGGAAGGTAGAATCTTCCGGAAGCACAGAATGTTCTGTTGGTTCATAGAGTGAGTACACCAATTCTTGCTGTAAATGACTCCTCTTAAACTAACTCATGACACGCTACAGATCGAGTATGTTAGCAAAACCACAGTTCATGGAAACCAGATTCATTCACCACAAAGAGGGCTGGAGATTTCTTTTATTTTTTTTCTCATTGTAGATAGATAGGCCCAGTTGAACAGATGTAAGAACATCAGTTTGGATGTCAGGAGAACTGCAGAAATGGATTACTATATCAAGAGAGAAGCCAGGAAGTGTGTTTCAATTGTTGCCTGCAAGCATTGGACATGTAGGGTCTCTTCAATGCTAGTGGTCATTGTGGGATTTACAGAAGAAGATTCTGTATGCAGTCTTGTATCAGGATTATAGGGAACTACGTTGTTGGAGGAATGTTCAGGAAATCCTAAAGATAAGTGGAGTTTTGGTCTAGAGTTTACTTGCTAAACCATAATTCATGGAGCACTCTGCCATTTCTTACTTCTCCCCCTTGGAAACTTCTCAGGGGAACATTGAATCACCAGAATTAATGAAAGGGGGCTTGTTATGAAAAAATAATTTCAGTCATTGGCCCTTTCTGGTTATCAGTTGAAGACAAGTTACTGTGACAAACAGAGACTGTGATATATCTATTCGATCATGAATGTGCCAGGGTATCATTTAAAATACTATCAGCACTTTTTGAGGAAGGGGGGTACTGCTGTCTTTGTATATGTAAAGGGATTATTTTTAATATGGTATCAATACCACTTTTATTATTGTAGAATCCACCTTTTGGAAAGAAAAAGAAACATGCCCAAATAATATTAAATAAAAAAATCATGACTTTCTAAAAATTAGAGATCATTCTTCAGAAACCTTGGAACTACATAATTATGAAATAGATCGTGGTTATTAAATTCCATTCAAAGTCATATCAACCCTGTCTTCAATGCAGTTCTAAAATAGAATGTTCATAAACCATTGTAAATAAATTATTACAATTTTAAACGCTTGACATATTTTGATGCTTTTACCAAGTGGGTAGTCTTTAATGATGCAGCTATATTGCAGGGTAAAAGAAACATCTCCATATCTCTTTAATCCAAGCAAGAGAATATGTGATGAAAACAAAAATATTTCCACCATTTCAAAAGCCAGATCATCTGTGCATGGGTCTTACCTTTCTCCTGCGGAGAGTGACTTGGTTATCTGTGGGTTCGTGGGTGGCCAGAGTCTCTCCTAAGTGTAAACACTGTATGTCACCTTCTGGCTTGACCTCAGGAGGACCTTTGTTTTGATGTTCTGAGAATCCCCTGTTCTCCAGAATGCACTCAGCTGACATTCCACTAGGGCAGGAAGAGGGCTGCAGGAGGCAGCTTCCAAAATCCGCTTTCAATACTGACAGTCCTGGGTCTGTGCGAGGAACAGCCAAGAACTCATCTTGAACTGTGCGGCAGCAGGTGTGACTGTCAATGTCATCTTTAGGGAAGTCAGGTTTCCTTCGCTGCTGAGCAATCACAGCAGAATTAAGCAACTGCTTCTCAGGCACGATTCCTGTCACAGTCAAAGAGTCAAACGCATTGAACTTGGGTGCATCTTTAATTTCACTTAAGTTTCTATCACGATAAAGCTCCAGGCTCTTACTTATAGTGTCAACAACTTTTCTCTCCCCGCTTTGTTCTACCAGTGCTAAATCAGCTTCACCAGCCCTTCCCCACGAGTTTGGAGAATCTTTGTGACTTTCCAGGCTGGGCAGTGTCTTTACTGAGGAGCCTGCTCCTTCAGTGGTGTGTTGGCCTGATGGCTTCTGCCCTTGGATAGTTAAAATCTGCTTATCATCTATAAGGTGCAAATCAGAATCCGTGTCCTCGTCAGAAACATGCACCAGCGTTTCTGTGCTGGCTTCCAGAGAAAGAAACGGATCCTCAGTTTCATGGTTGTCATTTTTATCCACTTCCTTTGAAATGTGACCCATTGGCCTCCCAGGAAAATCTCTCAGCTCTGGTACGTGACAGCAATCTGGGAGTGAAATGCACTTCTCCTTGCGGTCCACATCTGGTGCTACATCCTTTTCCATCCTTGCCTGCGAGCTGTCAGCTCCTAGTCCATGATGACATGCTGTGTTACAATCGTCAGAATTAAAAGGTGGTCCCTTCCATCGGGTCACATGCTCTTCCCAGCTTCTCTTTCTGATAGCTACAGACATGTCATTGTAGTTTAACGACAGACAGAGAGATACGTTCCATAGGAGGCTAGAGGAGATGGAACTTGATGAAAGATTATTTCAAATTCACGGATCAAGGAAGGGAGGGAGTTTTGTCATTTCGCCACCTATTAAAAAATTTTAAAAATATATAGTTATGGATACATTTCCAATGTCACAACACATCTAGGGGAAACACAGCCCTCAATTGGTGCTGTGAAAATTGAGGTAAGAGATTTTATAAAGCTTCTGTTTAGTAGCTTTTACACTATTATTTCTTTAAGAAGCAGCTTCATATTAGAAGCAAATTTTCCCTTTAATGTTTCTTGTCCAAAATTCAATGCTTTTAAAGGCAATTGGATTGATCTACTAATGAATAAAAACTTAAATATTAAACATTTAAAGCCCCATTAAGAAAATATTCAAATTGCGATACTGAACACAAGTCGCCAGATGAAACTTGTTGCTCTAGCTTGTTTGCTTTCCTGATTTGCTTTTGTGAACATGGGTCATTAAAGAAAATCCAATCACTGTTTCATCTGAATTGCAGCAAAGACCACCAGGGAATTGTTCATGCAAAAACTTGAGCTATAGAGATAGCACGTGTAATGTATTATTGTGTGAAAGAGCTAACACCCATCTCAAATGACCAGGATGTATTTACTCCAGGGAGCAACCAAGAAACCCCAGATCATCCAGGTTAGCTCATATGAACACACCATTCATGGATAACAAAGGATAACGCAAACCACAGTCCTTTAGGATAAGCACATCCGTCCTACTACCACTACCACTAGCCAGCAAGTCCGTAGGGTTGAAGCTTAGAGAAATTAAATAATTGGCTCAAATTTATACATTTGCCAAGTGAGCCTGGATTCAAATGAGGTCCTGGTTATAAGGTTCAGGCTGAGATACTCAACAAACTTCCTCGTTGCCTTGGAATCATGAGAGTCTTCATCTCTTCCCTGTCCCTTGTATCTCTAGTACACGTGAACTCATGTAAGAATTCAAGTGAACAAAAAAGAAGACATGAGTATAAGACAATTGGGATTATTCTTCAGAAATCTGAGTTTCATTCTCTTTGGCTCTTTGGGAGTTTAGCTTGTATATTCCTGTTGGCATTTGGCCATGAAAATGTACGTAAACAAGAAAATCAGGCCTGAGATAAAGTCAGAGCAGAGACACATTTCAGGTATGCCTCCTTTTTCCTTCTCAAACCCGTCATTAAAGGAGACAAACTGTACCAACGTAAACACAACATCATGAAAATGGCAAATCCAAATGCGGTCCCCACAAGGAAACCAAATTACTGGACTATAAACTAGAAATCCCATTCAATGAGCACTTTTCATTTTTACTCCACCAAAGAACTGTTAGTGCCCGACTTGGATTGGCTTACTGGTTTCAGTCAGTAAGTAATTGGTCATCATCCCCACAAGATTAACTGTGGTGCTGGTTTGGGGGTTGCATCAGTCCATTGAAAAGAACTCTGACTCCCCATCCCAAAATTCAAGCTATTCTTACTAAGTACATGGTGGGAAGGTAAATATTTTTACCCTACAAAGACTGGTGAAGTTAAGAAATGTAGTAGAATTTTGATATCCTAGCCTGACCGAATCATCTTTCTGGATACTGATTCGAAGGTCTGGGGCCATCTTTCAAAATGGTCAGCCTTCACATTTTCTGTGTTGCCATTCATTGTTCACTCAAAAGAAAATGTAGAGTCTCTGAATTCCATGCATAAATCATTACAGTGTGGGAGGCTACGGAAAGTGGAAAAAACGCACAGATGCAGGCCAGAAAATTTCTGCTTTCATGGGCAAATTTGGGTTGTAATAGGGCAGTTGTATTTTAGATGCTTTTTTTTCCTTTATTTTTATCCAGTGTAGAAGGAGCAGGATAGCTTAAGAAATGCCAAGTGGTATTCCTGTGTCATACTTACGCAGCATTTACGTTTAAGTTGAGCCTGAATTCTGGCTTCGTTTCTTTTACCACAGAAAATATAGTTTCATTAAATTTTCCGGAAAAAATAAGATTACACAGAGATTTTGCCCTAAGACCTTACAGTACTACTCATTAACTCATTTCACTCAAACTGGACAAGGAGGTTAAGTATTTCTATTATGTCAAGAAAGATAGTTCAAAAAGTTCTGAGACAATTGCTCGGCGCCCATAGCACAGTAGTTATGGTGTCAGCCACCTACACCGAGAGGTGGCAGGTTCGAGCCCAGCCTGGGCCAGCTAAACAACAATGACAATGACAACTGCAACAAAAAAATAGCCGGGCGTTGTGGCAGGTGCCCGTAGTCCCAGCTGACTGGGAGGCTGAGGCAAGAGAATTGCTTAAGCTCAAGAGTTGGAGGTTGATGTGAGCTGTGAAGCACAGCACTCTACCAAGGGTGACATAGCGAGACTCTTTCTTCCCCTAAAAAAAAGTTCTCAGACAATCTGATCTCAATGAGAGATTGTAAATTAGATGCAGATTAGCATTAACTCTTTCTGTCCTTATTGCTTATCTAGGCTTGCTGGACATTTTTTCCAAATCACCCCTGTAAATATACACTGTCTTTGTTTTTCAGACATAAAATTTCCCAGTTACCATGATGACCACCATCACTATATTTTGAGTGCCCAGCTCATTCTGTATCATGTGGTCTGATAGATTTGAAAAAAAAAAGCACAAAATCTCTGCAAACGTTCCTCCCCAGAGTTCCAAAATCAATTCTGATTTGTAAGATTTATGGGTAACTCTGCCTCCATGATTAAAAGCTGAGCAGAATGGTAACAAACGAGAGCATTACATTATTGTCAGTGGCATCTGAGCGTACTGGCCTCAATTTCTATATCATTTGAATGAACTATAGGAAGCCCTATAAAATAGAAGAGTCTTTGTAAAAGCCCCGACTTTCCCTCTGAGACGCCTCCCTGGTCTGCCTTATTTAAAATCATATTCCAGACTACTGACTACTTATTTTACAAATTTCTTTTGTAAGCTTTTTCATTCAATTTCATTGAGAATGAGCTCAGCCGCTGAGGATTTGGATAGAAGATCTGGAAAAGTGTAGGTCATTTCAGGGTGTTGATTTTATGAAGTGAATTTCCATGGGGATTTTTCACTTCTTAAATGCGCACTTTCAAACACCACTGCATTCATATTACAAGAGACTGTATAAAGCTCTAATGATGCAATGATTCTGGAAAATACTTGTGAAAGGTACAAATTGCCTTTTTGTAATATTAAAGCATGGAATGTTTAGACATGAAGTGATTTAGAATTTGTTGTTTGGGTAAATTTTGGAACACTTAGCTCTCCTTAACATAAAGGAATTCATGGCATGCAGTATATATTTTAAAAATTGAGGAAAACTTGGATATTATATTTTAAAATAATAACTGTAGATATTCTAGTTGGAGGACCACTGACCTATATTTGATATCCAACAAGCATGCTTTACTCTGCAAGTGCTTCTAAAATAAACACACACATTATAATCTGGCTTGCCAATTGTCCTTAAAAAAGAAGAGACTAATGGTCATCGCCACTGTTGATCCCACAGTCTGAGAGAGACCAAGGCTCAGATGACATACCTGTGGCTGAAATCAAGTGTGCAGTCCTGCAGAACTGACAGTAGTTTGATCAAAATCTCTATCTGGGTGGGCGTTTGCTGCTCACACCTATAATCCTAGCACTTGGAAGCCATGGCAGGTAGATTGCTTGAGCTCAGGAGTTCAAGACCATCCTGAGCAAGAGCAAAACCCTGTCTCTACTAGAAGTAGAAAAACTAGCTTGATGTTGTGACAGGTATCTGTAGTCCTAGCTACTTGGGAGGTTAAGGCAAGAGGATCTCTTAAGCCCAAGAGTTTGACGTTGCTGTGAACTATGATGATGCCACGGTACTTTACCCAGGGTGGGGCAACAGAGTGAGACCCTGTCTCACACACACAAAAAACAAAAACCCAAATCACTATTGGACCAGCATTTACTTGGTACCCAATGAGTGACATAAACTTTGCTAATCCTTGGGGAGTATATTAATACATGAAATTAGTATATTCTACTGAAGCTTACTGTTTTGGGGGAGAAACTCAAGTAAACAAGGATCGTAAGTCCTGTCATGGTGAAGGTACCATAAAAAGTGTGACACCATGGAGAGGCTCACGAGGTCCTTCTCTCCTTTCTTCCTTCCCCTTGTCCCCTGATACCTTCCTCTCTGGTGAGTGGTGCTGAGTGTATTAGGTGGTGGCTGTGTTAGGTAGGACTCCACAGAGGAGGAGATGTCTCTGGAGTGAATTTTCTACCTCCACAACATTCAAGTCAAACGGGAATTGAGGTAGAGTTTCCTTTCAGATGGAAGAAGTCTTTATTTCTGGCTTCAGATTTTTACTCTTACTGAATCATCCCTTTGGAAGGGCTAGCAGAGACAGCAATAAATTCCAGTTTATTGTTTATAATTTGGAAAACCATCGGTTACCTTGGAGGGGAACAACAACATAGGAGCATTTCAGAGAACATTGAAAGGAGAAATTTTTCAATGAAAATAATTTCAGATTATGTCCTAGAATGGATGACTGCAGAATTCAGGTGGAAAGGAACTCATGGAGTATGTAGTAGGGTGAGGAACAAAAATAGGCCATGTCAAGAAATATCATAGCGAAATTTCAGACTTAGGAGGTGAGCAAATGATCTTAAATGTTATCAGAGAGAGAGAGAAACAGAGAGAAATTGGTTCTATATCAGGAATTAGGAGTAAGAATAGTATTAGATTTCTCAAAAGTAACAATGGAAATAAGAGGATAGGAAAATTATGTTTTCGAAATTCTGATGGGAAATTGTGTCTACCTCAAAATGATAGGGGGAAACTTTTGTCTTAAAAGCTCTTCTCAAAAGCTATTGGACAGATAGTTCCAACTAAATAACAAATAAACAAAGCCAGATAGATAAAACAAGAAAGAATCCAGAGATTCAACACAAATGATCAGGGGGCAGAATTTCCAGAATAAAATTGGTGTAGCAGGTCTAGTGGGCAAAATGATTTCCCATAAATTCTAATGTTCTCTGTGAGGGATGCCTCTTTGCAAAATAAAAGGAAATAATGGATTATGTGTGACTACTTTGAGAGAAATTTTG